GAGCACCACGCCACACAGCGATCCACACACATAAAACAACCCCATCACATAAAAATTTTTACTGTACTTAGAATAGAGTACTTTCCTACTGCCGAAGTCTTGTACGGTCATTCTGGAGTCCAGGAAAGGGACAAGAGCTTGTTGCTTAGATGCTGCTCTTGTCGAGCACAGGCAATTCAGCTCTTTAGCTCCTGCAGTACAATTGAAGAATTGTAATTATCATTCTCTGATTAATTTGGCAAAACTCTGTGATGCCTACAACTAGCAAGGCAGAGTGTTATGCAAAGATCTCGGCGTACAAGGAACTAGCAGGATGGAAATTTAGTTTTAGGATTCTAGACCTTCCCCGTCCAATCAAGCTTTTACACAATGCAGGGATGCGAGTTGGATGAAAGAATTGTATATAGATACCATTTTCGAGGCCGTTATCGATCATGAATCTCGGCAAATCAAAATTTTCGTGATTAAAATAAATGACCGTGCCGCGGCCAATGTGTTGATTTGACGCCTCAAAAATTAGAAAAACAACTGGATTTGCTTGTTGTCGAAAATTTTCTGGACCGACATATTCCTTGAGCACCTATAAAAACGATTTCTAAAAGCTGTAATTATTTGTTTATTAATTTTGCGCTGCACTCTAATCACCGACAGTGTACACCACGAAAAAGTGCTGGGCTGGTCATGTGTCAAGAACGACAGACAATGGATAGACAAAGCGGATTATTGACTGGTACCCGTGCAAGTTCAAAGCACATAGGGAATATCACTAGTGCAGTGAAAGGATCCGTTTGAATGGCTATACGGAATTTATATGGATGGGAGCAGTTCTATCTCGGAAGTAATAATATCTCTGGAAACTTCCGTTCAAATATACAACGAGCTTTGAGTTTTGACTTTTATATTGATAGTTTTGCAGCTTTTAATTTATATGGAAAAATGATGTCTAGTGTTCTTTAGTCTTAATTATTAAATATTTTGTCACTGAATATGCCGGGCAGGATGGAGCAATTCCTGTTCGTAATGGAAAAATTCGCCTTTAGGAAAAATTGTGGAATAATCCTACAGCCAAATTCGTTCTGATCCTTTTTTATGCGTTTTACCTCTATGGAAATGAAAACGCATTAAGACGGGACCCAGGCCTGTGGGTGCAGTTGTGTGTGCCTATGTGTGTGCATGTTCTGATAATTAAACTCCGAAACTATGAAGGTTAGAAAGATAAAATAATTGATGGCCTAATGTTTTGGCCTAATAATTCATGGCCCAATCAAGTTTCTTGCCGTGCCCTTATCTGTAATTTCAGGACTAAGTCCAAATTAATTTCACAAATCAATAGCCAAAGAGGCTTTTTTGATGGATTAATTCTTTTTACAGTGAAATTAGTCCTAATTTAGTGTGCCACTTCCTAGAATCTCAAGCCTAAATACAGAACAATACGAAAAATCGATAAGCAGGAAAGTTATAAGCTAAAAATTTTGATAGACCTAATCTTTAACTGATTTGAAGCGGATAACTTGAGAAAAGAGACAGTTTTCCAGTCTTTGAAGTATCCTGGCCTATGGCCTGAAGTTCAAATTAAGGCTATTTGTAACTACTAATTTTTGAACATTGAAATTTTTGAATGTCACAAAAACTACAATTTATATTGAATACTAAGATCAAGAATTATGGATCCAAAGACCGTGTGTACTAAAAGCATATTAGAGGACAGTCTATGTTTCACCCCTTAGCTGTAAACACATAAGCATGTCAAAATCTGAGTTGTATCGTAAAATTTTGTGAAATTTTCTCGCCACATGGCTATTTATATTCCACTACTGTTAATAACGAATTAACCTCGTAGAAGTAGAAAGCAAACTCGTTTTGCAATAAAAGTTCTTACCTTATCACCGGACGGAGATCGTAAAGCGAGGTAATTAAGCGTCCCGAAGCCCACGTCGATGGCTAGAATCAAATAGCTATGATTGTAAATCCCAGTCCATTGTACATCCGGGGCATACCGGACATCAAACGGTTTCACAGCTTCCATATCAGGATGTATTTCAGTCATTTCAACACCGCCGTTACTCTTTACAGTAAAATCATGATCACAGGCACGATATGTCTGGATGCCGTCTGCAAGACAAGAAAGATTATAATGGTACCTAAAAACTAGCCTAAGACTCGGGCTTCGTTCTTTTGCTTGATTAAATTATTTTATTGCGAAGAATGCCAAGATTACCCAAACGATCGGTGTAATTACTTCTGGCCCTATTACTTGAAAGCGAGGTTAACTCCCAGCAAACTGAAGATCCTAGACAAATTTGAATTAGCAACAAAGGATTTGATTTACAAAACTTCGCATAAACGGTAAAATGAGAATGGTACTACTGGCTACAACACCACTGAGGTTCGCATCAAATATGGCATGAAAAGGGCAAAACAGGGTAATTGCTTCGTTGAGGTTACCCAAACGGTAAAGTAAAACGGAAACTCGTTCTAAGAAACTTTCAAAATTGAAGAAAAAAAAAAGCTAGGGACCTTTTACTGATCTGTAGGAGATGGTCGGAAAAATCCGCAAATTTCGGAGATAATCATTTTGATAGGTTTGCACACGAAATAAACGACTCCCGAGGCTATGGAATGTTTGAAGCGATTCGGGATTGTAACACTGGATTGGATCAACGTGACGTCCGATACACGTTTCACGCCACTGCTCACCGAACCAGTAGTGACGTGGCTCCGCGGCAATTTTTCTCACCCGTGCAATACATGCAGCAACATCAGGACATGTAGCAAGACATAACTGTGGAAAAAATAGGATTAGAATCAGAAGCATAGCCACCTTGCAATCAAACTGCTTGAATTCATGTTCTCCTGAACGAAATCTATTCATAGAACTCGGAAGTACGAAATGAAATGAAATGTATACATCGATATGCGCTATATTCGCCGTGGCAACCACTTCACTGACATATCGAAGCAATCAACGAGTTGTAAAAGAATCTCTAATTAATGAGAAAATGCGTAAATTATAAATATTAATAAAAATATAGGGGATTTTCTGTATTGATTTATCAAAAAAAGATGGGTTTTGTAATCTTCAGCAAGCAAATAAATGCTCGGAAATTTTTTAAAGAAAAAAAATACAACCATTTATATATGTATCATATTGTCAGGATTACAAATGTGCCAAATTGCCTACATAAATCTGGCACATTTTTAATCCTAACAATATGATATATTTATGCTCTAATCCTGCGGCCAAAATATGGGATATCTCAAAGTCCTATGATGTTCGAAGTACGCTATAGTTTTGCACGGTTCAACAGATCTCGACAATATGCTGCGTTTATTGGAACAAAAAAAAGAAACGCTCAGAAAAATCAAAAATCTTGCACATCTTTGTGGATTTTAAGAATAGATTATTGCACTTTATGTATTTAGTAGTCTTAGTTGTCTGCAAAACGTTCAGACTTTTCAATCAAACGGAACGAACAGAATTTTTCAAAAGAATGTTAGAAGATACTTGCAATGTTCGACTCCCTGGTAATAAAAATCGAGAAGAAATATGAATCCTTTTTTCGATCAGGATTAGGAAGCCAGAATAAATCGATCTCATTCCGGAAGAAAAAAATTTTTAATAAAGCCTCTAAAGCCGCTCACATCTCATCTTCCTAGACTCGAGAATTACTTCAAATCGGCCGAATTGAGTTGGGCTCTACAGATTTCTAAAACCGATCAGGTTGATCTGAAAAATACTTTAGAAACACAAAAAATTGGCCAACGCACGGGCTGCCCGTGCGAAGATGCGTTTTTTGCAGAGTTCCCTGCAGT